GTGACCTATCAGATTCTATCTCGGTGACCTTCGGTGCTGTCTACCTCCCCCCACCTCCTTCGTCTCTCCTCCCACCTCTCATCTATGTATGCGTGTACGAGGTCTGGGCATCGTCTATGCTTGGCCCAGACCTCACCATCTCACGATTGTATGTGTGTGGAGTGATTCTTCAGTCAATCCGTGTGAGTCAGTCTATGTGAGTCAGTCCGTTTATCAGACTTCCGCTGCATATATGCTCATCCTACATTGGTTGATCTTTGGTTCTGCCCATACTCATTGAAGTATGTAACAGTCTTGGTATCGGAGCAACCCAATAACGGATCTGCTCACCAGGTAAGTAGGTTTAGAATTAGATTATTTTGATTGATCTTCTAAATCGGCCCTGAATTATTACCGAGATTAAAGTTGCAAAATTTCTTTTTTTCGGTCTTCTGGTTATTTCGGCATTTCCTGTTCAATTCCGTATTCGGACTTTTATTCGGATTTCTGTTGTACACCGGTATGCTGTGTAATTAGGATCCGAGAAATTTATACTAATCCAACATTCTGTTTGATTCGGATTTTTGATTCTACGCGTATTAGGGTTCAATCAATATCATGTTTGAAATTCGGCTTTTCTGATTTTCATTCAGCATTCTGTTTTTCGACATTCTGTTGTAAATCCTATATTTCGTTTTCTTTTGGGATTTCCGTTGTCTTTCAGTATTGGAATTAGGGTTACGAAAATCTTTTGGGTTTTAGATCAACTTGGGGAAATTCGAACGTTTTGGGGACCGTAAATCCGGAAATTTCGCGGAAACGCGGAAAATAAAGGTTGGGACCGAAATTTTCGCGAATTTTTTTTTCATTCCCCTTGTTTGAGAAATTCCGAAAATACATTTAGGCTTTAAAAAATCGGATTTTGACGGTGGAAATTCCCGAAAATTCGCGTTTTTTCGCACTCTAAGCCGTATCTGACCCTCAAACTGCAACTTCCGGGTAGTTCACTCATTAACGGTGAACTCCCGGACTCAAGTGATCTCAAAGAGACCAAATCATAACACCATTCAAATTCGTTATTTCTTTAAGAATTATTATTTTATTATTTATCATTAATTAATTTTACTGATTAAATCGTTATTAAATTCTTATTACGAATTTTGAAGTGATTTACGGAAATTTATTTTTCTGTTTGATTAGGTGTCTACAGTCCATCGGTGGGACAAGGGATTGTATGTATATTGCTTGATTGTTCTACCCCTGCTCCCACTCTCCCTATCCCCCTGTATTCTGTGAACACCGGCACCTCTCAAGTACCGCATCAGTTCAGACTTATGTCGATGGAACAAGACACCGGGGCACTGTCACGACGCAGTGCCAGGATCGCAGTTCGTGCCCGCCCTGCGGTACCTCCATGACCCAAGAGATTCAGCAGACGGACGACTCCAGCGGCATCAAGTACGACATTGACAGTACAAGACACCATTGAGATCTTCCCGCATGCCCGGTCCGAGAGGCCAACGAGCCTTTGGCTGACTATCTTGGGCGGCTACAAACATTTACAGACGCCGTAGCCGCCACCGAGGCTTAGGAGGCTGCGGCAGAGGCAGAACGTCGGCGGCTGGCCAATGAGGCGGCAGCCGAAGCTCAGCGGACAGTTGAGACTGACGAAGTGGCACGAAACAGACGGAATGCCGCCAGCACGGAGTCCTTGATTGCTAGTGAGCATCAGTGGACAACGGTACTCCAAGGCATGATCTTTGTGCCTACGGAAACGCAGGCAGAGCCGACACAGGCGGAGGCAGAGAGAAGTAACCTGGCTACTGTGATGTTGAACGTAATGAGGGGAGTAATGTGGAACAACAAACTACTACAGGCACACCTGCACGCGGAACGACAGCAAAAACAGCACTACCAGGAAGACCTGGCCGCTGTAACGGTCGGTGTCCGCGACGCAGCAATGCAGCAGCAGCAACAGCAACAGCAACAGCTGATGAACTCTACCATCGCACGCATCAACGGCACTGAGGCCAAGGCCTCAGCAGCGCCAGGCTGCACGACGGACGCGACGAAGCAAATCCATGAACGCATCGATCACGTCGTCACCATCATCGGCGACATAGGTGTTTTCAACAGATCGGACACGATCAGCAGCACGGTGGCCGCCATCAAGATGGACATCACCAAGCTACAAAGATGTTCAAGATGCCGCACTTCGACATCTGCAAGTTCTACGACTACAACAAGTCGGATGCCTTGACATGGTGGCAACGTTTCCTCACGGAAGCGTCATGCCGCACTGTCCCGGCGAACGACATGTTGAAGGCACTCTATTTGCAATTGCTTGGAGGAGCGCAGGCATGGAAGAACCACCTGGCTGACACCCACAAGTGCACCATCGCCGAACTCCACACGCACATCACGTGGAAGGAATTTGAGCAGCTATGGTTCACCCGGTTCATGGTCCGCAACGTCGTGAAGGCGACCATGCATGAGGTGTACACATGCTCTCAGGGGAACATGCCAACTCGAGACTGGACAATGAAGTGGCAAAAGATAGTGACCACACTAGGCTTCGACTTGACATTTCCAAATCAACGATCCGAGTTCTTCTCGCGATCATGCGCGGGATTGCGGTCGGCACTCGGTAATGAGTACGACTATACCACATTCCAGGGCATTCTCGATCGAGCGAACTTRGTCATCCAAACGGACGACAAGGCCGCTAACGAGAGACAATCCCAGCCGCATTATGTGGCTAAGCAGGCCTATCAACGTCCGACACATAACAATGCCGTGATTTCTGAGGAAACCGACGACCACCACGCTGCAGCAGCATCCTCGGGTGATGGAGGAATTGTCGCAGCGCTCCCGCCGAAGCGTCCCAAAAGAGTTCGTAAGAATAAGGCGACACAAGAAACGGCAGCGACGGGAGCAGGGCAGCCATGAACGGCATATAAGATCACCAAGGAGGTCTATGACCTACGTCAGAAGTACGGATACTGCCTTTGGTGCAACGGAGTCACCCATGTGACCGCACAATGCCCYGAAAAGGGCAAGGCACGCGTACCCCATCCAGCAAACTCGGGAAACTGAGTTACGTAAGGAGAGGGGCGACGTCTCTCCTCACTCCGCCGGACCCGGTTGCCTTGCTAGCAATCGATGTCACTACCGGGGAGCATGGGTTAGTCGCTCATTCTCGTGCTACGTACGAGGATTATGCCGCCCAGCTGGTACCACCATTAGACCAGCCTAGCCACGTGCATGTAGATTGCGTATGCGCAGCCTGTACACCGTCGGCAAGTGATCCGGTCAGTTCGCCACTGTTGTCCGAGGACTCGACGGCGTGGTCAAGWCTTGAGGAGCTTGACCCGCTTACGAGAGAGGATTTCGCTTGGATACCTCTACCCTCGATCGGAACATTGCCAAGGCCGCATTGCAACGCCTTGATGGCAAATCTACGCTTCTACTTGCACACTACAGTACCAGCTCCRTTGACGGACGACGGGGTAGCGGTTGCCGATCTACGCTCCTATCTTACGAAGATCGACCACGAGCACGCCACCCAAAGGTACGCCGAAACAAACACACCTTTGCTCTATATCCGCATTCAAATCGGAAAGGCAACCTGTAKTGCCTTGATTGATTGCGGAGCGTCTCGCAACTTCATGAGTGAAGCCTTTATGGCCCACGCGTTCGAAGGAAGACGCAACCTACGCAAGTTACACTCGCGGACGGCCGCACGCAAAAGTCAATTGACCGATGCGTTGATGGCGTTCCGGTCTACTTTGCRCCACTTGCGTGCGAGCCGGTGTCTTTTGACATCCTCGACACCAAGTTCGACATGATTCTAGGCATGTCTTGGTTGCGTAGCGCCGATCATCCGGTGAACTTCCATGACCGAACCGTTCACATCCGTGATCGGAACGGAGTGTTAGTCCCATGTACGGTCGCGACCCCTCACACTTCGATTGCTTGTCACGTGGTTTCCGTTGCGCGGATTCGCAACGCCATTGCTCGGAATGACGTCGAGGAGATGGGCCTTGTATTCCTACATGCTCTCCCCTCGTCGGACGGACCAGCCGCGTCACCGCCAGACCCACGCATTTCTCACCTCTTGGATGAGTATAGAGACGTCTTCGAGGCTCCCACCGGAACGGTTCCGGATCGGTCCATACGTCACGGAATCACTCTCGAGGCTGGCGCCGTCCCTCCTCGTGGATGTATCTACCGCATGAGCGAAGAGGAACTCGAAGTGCTTCGCGCACAACTCGATGACCTTCTGGACAAGGGTTGGATTCGCCCTAGTTGCTCGCCATACGGTGCACCTGTTCTCTTCGTCCGGAAGAAGAACAAAGATCTWCRRTTMTGCATCGACTATCGAAAACTTAACGCACAAACCGTAAAGAACGYCGGCCCTCTCCCTCGGATTGATGATCTCCTTGAGCGGTTAGGCGGCGCGACGTACTTCTCGAAGTTGGATTTTGAGTAAGGTTACCACCAGATTGAACTCCAGCCTCGAGACCGGTACAAAACTGCGTTCAAGACGCGGTATGGGCATTTTGAGTGGGTTGTCATGCCATTTGGACTCACCAATGCCCCCGCAACGTTTCAAGCAGCGATGACGACTGAGTTCCGCGACTTGCTCGATCGCAGCGTCCTCATCTACCTTGATGATATCTTGGTTTATAGTAGGACGTTGGACGAGCACATCGTACACCTTCGCGTTGTTTTGAATCGTTTGCGACTAGCCAAGTACAAAGCGAATCTCGACAAGTGCGAATTCGCCAGGCAAGAGCTTGGACCATTTTGTCACGCCAAAAGGCATTCGTCCCTTAGCGGACAAGATCCAAGCCATCGTGGATTGGCCGGAACCCCGTTGCACGACGGATGTACGCTCTTTCATGGGTTTGGCTGGATATTATCAGCGATTCGTCAAGTCATACTCGAGAGTGGCCGCTCCTTTGTCAAGACTCCAGTCCTCGAAGGTGCCCTTCGAGTTCGACGATGCAGCCCGTGGCGCATTCAGTACGGTGAAGGCAGCGATGCAAGCCGCACCTGCCCTCCGTATATACGACCCCACCCTACCCACCCAAGTGACTACGGACGCGTCCGGATACGGTATTGGTGCCGTGTTGGAACAGTGTCTCGAGGACGGTTGGCATCCGGTTGAGTATTTCTCCCAAAAGGTGTCTCTTGTCAACACTCTCGACGACGCTAGGAAGAAAGAGCTACTCGCGTTCGTCACCGTTCTCAAACGGTGGCGCCACTTTCTTCTCGGCCGGCGGCGTTTCAAATGGAATACAGACAACAATCCGTTGACCTTTTATAAAACGCAAGACACGGTCACTAGCACAATCGGTCGATGGATGTATTACATCGACCAGTTCGATTTTGACCCGTGCCACATTCCCGGTCCCGCCAATCGAGTTGCGGACGCCCTCTCACGACGGCCCGACTTTTGTGCCATTGTGACCACGACATTCGACCTCGATGACGATCTGCAGCGGCATTTCGTCAAAGGCTATAAGTCCGATCCGACTTACTCTCAGCTTTACGCGGAGCTTTCATCGGATCACCCGCCGGCTAGCCACTATCGGATTTCCGACAGGTTTCTTCTCCTTCACACGAGAGGAAAGGACTTGTTAGTTGTGCCCCAAGATCGCATCTTACGGACTCGTCATCTCGGCGAAATTCCACGACGCACGATTTTCGACACACCTTGGCGTGAACCGCACACAAGCACGCCTCGGCCAGCGTTTTCACTGGCCCGACGTTCTTCATGATGTCACGAGGTACATTGAGTCATGTGCAGTTTGCCACCGAAACAAGGGTCGATCTCGAGTCCCCTTCGGCGAACTGAAACCGTTGCCGATTCCCCGGGCACCACGCCTCTCCATTGCTATGGACGTGACATGCCCAATTCCCCGCGATCGCCACGGCCATAACGGTATTCTTACGGTCGTTGACCGTTTGAGCAAGTATGCTCGCTTCCTTCCTTGCAAGTATCATGCTGCAGCGCCTGAGSTCGCACGACTCTTGCACACCGATTGGATTACCAACCAAGGTGTTCCGGAAGACATAGTGAGCGACCGAGATACTCAATTCATGTCAGCCTTTTGGACTTCCCTCATGGCTAAGTCCGGTACGACAATGAAACCGAGCTCGGCTCGGCACCCGCAGACGGATGGTCAGACGGAGCGAGCGCACCAGACCGCTCAGATGATGTTGCGTATGCTCATCCGTCCCGACCAGAAAGATTGGGTTGACCGGCTTCCCGACATCGAGTTCGCCTACAACACTTTGGTGCACCCGGCGATCTGCGTCACATCATTCGAGCTACATCATGGTGGAGAGAAAGCACGGATCTTCGCTGATCTCCTTTTGCCACAGCCTGCGGACATAGACGTCCCTTACTCTCCCGCTTCCATCCRGAAGTACCGGTGTCGGGAATCCCGGGGAGGGGTCGCCTACAGTCCGCTGAAGCCAAGGGCTACGACGCCTGTCACTCGCCGCGCCCGCTTCCGAGGTCCTCAGCGGCCTGCAGCGTGCTTGTGTCTGTTTAGTTTGTCACTGCTCCTCTCGGGGATGCTACGGGTGGCATCACCCACAAGCTATAGCAAGTCCTGTTGCAAGGTGATTATAGCGAATGTTTAAAAGCTAATTCTAGATCCAGTTCATTTGGGCCATCAAGAGTAACACTGTCCGAAACAAGCCTTTTTCGCAGTTATCAACCGGAGTTACAATATTCCAAACAATGGTCAGTTCGCTATGGCCTGCAAGTTTTATCAAGAGTCAAGTCCAAGATCTAGTTCATCGAGTTTGTCAAAAGGGCAACATGGGTGTTTGCATGGCGATCAAAGCTCACTTCATAGCGAACTACAAATTTCCTGCTGACCAAATCTAGAACGGGTTCACCAAGTTTTTCAAAAGAAAAGCAAGACAATTTAAGCTCAGTTCGCTGCCGCGGGAAGTAATAGTAAAAGGATAATTAATTTTCCCCTTTTGGCCTTYCCTCTCTGTCTCTCCTCCCCCGACTGTCCTTCTTTGCCCTCTTCTTTCTCTCTGTGTGTCTGTTTGCACGTAGTCTCCCACTTCTGATATTGCGTTCGAGAGCAATCACCGTCGTTTCCCAGGCAAATCCTTTCAATACAGGTAGTTGTGCTGGGGAAAGGTCTTTTCAACTTTCTCCCCCCCCCCCTGCCTTCTTTGATCTGTGCCTTCCCTGTGAGTTTTCCTTCGCTTTCACTTCACGGGGGCTTGTCACGT